TGTTAGGCTTTAAATTCCCCTTTTTCCAAGTGATTACAATTTCTAGATTAATTAAAGAGTAGTCACAGCATCTTTAATTTACTAAGAATTGTCTAAAGTTCAAATCACATAAAGATGGCAATGATAAATGCCTAGTGATCCTATAATTTTAATTAGTTAGGGAGTAGCCACAGCATCCTTAATCAGTTAAAATTATATATTGAGTTGTTGGGTCACATAAAATTTGATGAATGTCTAGTGATCTTATAATTCTAATTAGTTGGGGAGTAGCCACAGCATCCTTAATCAGTTAAAATTATATATTGAGTTGTTAGGGTCACATAAAGTTTTAGACATATCAATTGTGATTAATTTTATGTAATATGATGGAATTTAGCCCACAGGCAATTTCGTTATATTTGTATGATTAATTAGGATGAAATACTGAACTATGATCATAATTTAGCCCACAGGCAATTATGTATCGGAATGTAGTTTAGTAGTTTTATCAGTAATGATAGGAATAAAGAATTTTACTTACTTTATGAGTAATTTTCACCTCTGTCATGAAGCTTAATTTTATGATGTAAACTTTAGGTCATATATCTTAATTTGCCCACAGGGATTAAGATAAGGAGCATGATCTCTTAAGTGTTTTCTTGGTCATAATGGTTGTAATGAATTTAATTGAATTAAAACTTTAGCCCACATGCAAGTTTTATGTCACTTGATTCTTCAACCCATTTGATAATTGTATAGTTGTAATGAATCTAATTGAATTAAAACTTTAGCCCACAGGCAAGTTTTATGTCACTTGATTCTTCAACTCATTTGCTAATTGTTTCATCATAAAATTTCAGTTGGATCTTATTGAGTAAAACTTTAGCCCACAGGCAAGTTTTATGTCACTAGATTCTTCTGGCCATTTAGTAATTGAGATAAAATACTATCATAAGTGTTTAATTGAATTTAATAGAATTAAAACTTTAGCTCACAGGCAAGTTTTATGTCAAATAAATTCATCAACCCATTAGATAATAACTTTATCCCAATTTCTTAGAATTTATAAATTTAGTTCAATTATAATTCTAAGTTTCATGGTTTGCATTGGCAAAACATGTATTTAGTCACTTCCCAAAATTTAGATACACCTTTTATTAATTATTTTTCACGAAGCTTACTTGGTTATTTGGACTAACTATAGTAAGTTACGTGGTATGATATACTTCTTTTGGATTCCAATAATAAAATATATCTTCTGAGCCGAATTCCAACTTGGTTTTGGAAGGCGTATTTTATTATTTTAGTATGTCCAACTATGGTGGAGAATCATGTCCTCATTAATCATTCATTTAGTTGGACTATAATTGGAACCAAATATTGATTATTTAGTGTGCCCAACTAATGGTGGAGAATTATATCTTCATTATTTAGTTGGTCAAATCAATTATGAGTGTTATATCATTAATTTGGCTAAAGAATATCTTAATCAGTGGGAGTGATCATTTAGAAAAAGATCATTAAAATACTCCATTAAAGCTGATGGATTTAGTTGTTTTCATACATTACAAATTGGATTGTGCGTCTAGCAATAAGTCCAAAAGTTTCCACAAGTATTAATTTAGTCTTTTGTTCTTATAATTCATAAGTTCATTTCATTGAACGTTTGGTTGTACAACATATTTATGAAAATGTTGTAACAATATTAATGAATTTATTAGAACGAAAACATTTAACTTGTGGTGCACTGCCAATTAATAAATTCTTTAGCAATTAACAGAGTCTTTAGTTTCTTCAAAATTGATCCTGGGCCATTTTTTGTTTTGTAAGGCTCAAAACAATTTTATAAGACATAATAAGACTCGTAATGTTCAATTAATTTCGAGGTGAACCTTGAGATTATTTGGGAAGTTGGTGTCTGTTTAAGATTCCAAATTATTGACTTAGACCTTATGGTTTATGTTATTGGAATGTTTCTGTGACTTGACTATCTTTTGGCTATCTTAATGAGTGGGAGTGACAGACGTGTCAACTCCAAGCTCTTAGCCGTTAGAGGTAGTGTTTATGTTAACTTATAAACAAGTCATAGAATATAGTTAGCATTATGCTAACATTAAGAGATCTCTACTTAAGGCATGCTTCTAAGATTTTGGAGATCATACAGTGAATTTGGATGGTTTCTTCCTTCAGTTGTGCACATAATATATTTTGAGAAACATCCATTAAGGGACTAAGAATAAACGTAGTTTGTTCATAAAGAACCTAAGTTAGAGAATTTAAATGCATGTGATCATAGTAGTTACTACTCACTTGATTAGTAGATGACGTATTACTATGGTTCTTGTATTTTGTTCTTTAATGAAGGTTGTGCCAGTACTTGCACCAAGTGGGAGAATGTAAGTATTTTCCCTAAATACAATATATTATAATATATTGTATTATTGGGTGGTTGTGGTGCAAGTAGGAGGTTGAGTCAATTAGTGACTTAATCTGTTATGCAACTCAGGATATTCAGTTAAGCTTTAACTGAATATCTGCCTATGTTGATGGCATGTAGGCTTCTAAGCAAAATAGTCCTCCCACAGCTCCCGGGTTCAGGACACGTACCATCACGTATTCGGGAGAGAAGTGGTAGACAAAACGACACTAACCTTTATTCTGTAGGTTTACCATCTCGTGGCAATACCAACGACTATGGCTGGGGATATTTGGGCGATCCTAAAGCTTCCGCTGTAACGAGGCAGGTTACTTGTTTACTACAGTTTGTGTTAGTCTTAACATTATTATCTAACATTATAAACTTGATGGCCAAAAATTATTAACAAAAAAAAAAAAAAAAACACACACACACAATAGCCGACGGACTGATACTAGTATAGAATTAACCCCCAACACTTGCTGCAATTCACATAACAAAGTCTAGTAAAATAAGATGGAGGGTTTTCAAAAAAATAAATAAATCAATGAAATGGAGGGAATAGTAGAATCATTTATCTAAAAACATAATAAATGTGAATGAAGGTTATACCCTTCATTTATGTTCATTTTTTCCGTTAAGTTTTTTGATATATTATGCTATAAAAGTTGTACTATACAATATTTTGGACAAACATACCCCTACCGTTATAACTTCCGTTATCTTTTCCACTATTGTTTCTATGCACATACATCCACCATATATTTTCTAATATGTTTCAATAATAATAATAATAATAATAATAATAATAATAATAATAATAATAATAATAATAATAATAATAATAATAATAATAATAATAATAATATACACTTTATAATAATAATAATATATACACATTATATATTGAGGTTATATGTTAGTTATTTCTTAAAATATAAATATCAAATTTATAAAAATGTTTTACATTATTATTATTATTATTATTATTATTATTATTATTATTATTATTATTATTATTATTATTATTATTATTATTATTTACAATAATTTAAATATCTAAAATCTAAATAAATTTAAAATTTTACTATAAAGTACTAATGTTGGACACCTATTTCTTGCGCATCGCGCATAAAAATACTAATTAATTTATACAAGTCAATATCAATTAATGGGGATCACATAATTTGATACTGGTTCAGGTTCCCGTTTTGACAGTACTTTTTATGTGGCTGTGCTGTCACTTACCTATAGGTAAATGCATCACAAAATGTTCAAAAATGTATCATTAGATGTGGTGCGATATGATGTGTATTTTGTGATGTATTGATGCATTTTATTGTGATGTATTTCTGAACACTATATGATACATTTTTACATATGGTGAATCCGCACCAACTATACAGAAAACATTGTACGTATTTGAACCAATATCATTTGGTACTAATACACTATTTCTCGTCCATAATTTTGATATTGGTAAGAAAAGAAATGATATGGAGTATATTCTTCTATTTTGTCTTTATTTCTGCATTGCATTTAACAATATCAAATTATCAATCAATCCACTCATTTTGGTAGGCGTATGATGCAAACTTCCACTCCTAAAAATCCCATTTGCCCCACTTTCAACACATTCAAACCTATTCCAATTCAGGATATGTAATATTCATCAAATTTAGTCAAATCAATGTTTTTAATTATATTTTTGTTTTTAATTATATTTTTCCTTAATTTACTGAAAAGAAAAAATATAATACTTTTAATAAAAAAATAAATATTTTATACTAAAATGTAAAAGTATCACATTTTTCCTTATAAACAACAAATATTTTATTCATACTTAATATTACATTTCCTAATATAAGCATTACATTTGCATATGACATGATTCGACCTATCTCACGAATAAAGAACTTTGAGACAGTCTCAGACAAGTATGACTCTAAATATTTAGATTATCCTCAAAAATAATTTAATTTTTATATTTTTTTTTTAAATACATTTAATTTTTATATTTAGTTATTACATAAACATTTTAGATTTTAGATAAATCTCATCATTTGATCAACGCGTAATTTGAGAAGTGCTACCAAACCAGCCCTTAGGTTTGGATTCTACATTTCTATTTTCTACCTACTCACGAATATTTTATTAGTTAAAATTTTAAATTATTTTTATATATTCACTCTATCTTATTTTATGTGTCTGGCTCGATTAACGAGACTTGTTAAAATTATTTTAAATCTAATTTTTCATAATATTAAGTTTAGTATTAATATACAAAAGAGTATACAAAATTTATATATTTAAAAACTACACTAAAAAGTATTATTAAACACAAAAAATTAAATTTAAAAATAAGTAAAAAATACTAAAAAAATAAAGAAAGAAATAAAGAGTTTGTTTGACTTATGAATAATAAGTTGGACAGATAAAATGAGACAAAGCGAGTATTTATTATTATTAAATTAAAATAAAATTTAATCGGCATCACCGCCCCTCGAAACTTCCTGAAATGCAAAGCCGCGTTCACACCACTCACACGTTTTCTCGAAACCACATTGCAAAACCCCAAACCAGAATTCAAACATTCAATCCCCTTTTGCCTCTGTTCTGTCTGTTGATTGCAAAAAGTCAAAGCTTTTTCTTGATTTTCTGGTGGTCCCAAAAGTCTTAATTCCCAAATGCTTTCACATTTCCATTCACACATAACTTCGAACACCTTCCCTGCAATGCTTTCTGCCTTTTCCTATATATGAACTTTCCTCTTCTCCAGGAAAAATCCGGTTTTTCTTCTGCTACTTATATATATTCGTGGAATAATCGGCGAAAGGATTAATCAAATGAGCGCTAGTAACGTACCGAATAAGCGGAGACGGAGGAAGGTCGACGGCGTTTCCGGCGACGGTGAGGGGAGCAACGAGCGCGGGGTCGTGAAGACCCGGGAGGTGAAAGAGATCCTAACCTCGCTGTTGTTGCTTGAGGAGCAAGATAAGCAGGAGGAGGAAGAATTGGATAGGGAAGAGCTCGAGAGCAGAGCCCTTCTCGAAGCGAATCACAGGAAGACGAATCGCGCGATGTGGGATTATTTGTCCTACGTCCAGAAGCACGATAGCGCCGTGGAGCAAATCGATGGGAAGAGGAAAAGGAAAGGGAAGGGCAACTCTTCTGCCGCCGCCGCCGCCGCAATCGCGGCGGCGGCGGCCACCGAAGCGGCGGAGGAGCAAGAGATAGACCCCCCGGGTAGCGACAAACCCGGGTCCGCGCCGCCGCAGAGGCGGTTGTGGGTGAAGAACCGGTCGCAGGACTGGTGGGATCAATGCAACAGTGCGGATTTCCCAGAGGAGGAATTCAAGAAGGCGTTTCGAATGGGGAAAGACACATTCGAGTTGATCTGCAATGAGCTGAGCTCCGTGGTTGCAAAGGAGAACACCATGTTGAGAGATGCTGTCCCTGTGAGGCAAAGAGTGGCAGTTTGTATATGGAGATTAGCCACAGGTGAGCCTCTCAGGCTAGTTTCCAAGAAATTCGGCTTAGGCATTTCTACTTGTCATAAACTTGTTCTTGAGGTTTGTACTGCCATTAAAACTGTTTTGATGCCTAAATACCTCCAATGGCCTGATGAGGAGAAAATGAGAAGCATAAAGGATGAATACGAGGCGAATTCCGGGATTAAAAACGTAGTTGGATCAATGTACACTACCCATATCCCCATCATTGCTCCCAAGATTAGTGTGGCAGCTTATTTTAACAAGAGGCATACCGAGAGGAACCAGAAAACGTCCTACTCGATTACTGTCCAAGGTGTGGTTGATCCCAAAGGAGTGTTTACTGATGTGTGTATTGGCTGGCCTGGATCAATGCCCGACGATCAGGTCCTCGAGAAATCCGCCCTGTACCAGAGGGCTAATGGCGGCCTGTTGAATGGCGTTTGGATAGTTGGGAGCTCGGGTTACCCTCTCATGGATTGGGTTCTTGTTCCTTATGCACAGCAGAATTTGACATGGACACAGCACGCTTTCAATGAGAAGATCGGGGAGATCCAGCGTGTTTCTAAAGACGCCTTTGCTAGGCTGAAAGGGAGGTGGGCTTGTCTGCAGAAGAGAACCGAAGTTAAGCTCCAGGATTTGCCCGTTGTGCTCGGGGCGTGCTGCGTGTTGCATAATATATGCGAAATGAGGAACGAGGAGATGGACCCCGAGCTCAACTTCGAGCTCATTGACGACGAGATGGTGCCCGAGGTTCAGTTGAGGTCAACTTCTGCAAGAATGGCTAGAGATACTATTGCTCATAACCTTCTGCACCATAACCATGCTGGTACATCTTTCCTATCATGATTGAATTAATTGACTCCATTCTTGAATTATGATTCTTTCATGCTTATAGTAATTTATTACAGTTTATGTTATAGAAGATGATCCCTTGTCTTAGGGCTCTGTATTGTAACATTATTCCCCTCTTTTTTTCCAGATTAATGACTGTTTCTCTCATAGGCCATAGGGATTGAACAGAAATTGTGAACACATATTGTAATTCAGTTTCTATACTTTGATATAGCAATCATTAGATGAATTTTAGTAGAAGATGATTCTTTGATTACTAATGGAGTTTACTAATCTTCCCTTTTGTTTTTGGTGCATCTACTCAAATGGCTTCATGGTTTTACTAGATTCTTTCAAGTGGTTTTGGTTACAATCCCACTTACTTTTCTAAGGATTCTTTTGATCCAAAAACCATAATACAAAGTAAATTTATGTAATTGACTGCAAGATTTTTTGAACTTTTTCTTTTAAAAAAAAAATAGGATTCAATATTCCTCTAAATACGCATCATATTTAATAACCTCGTCACTAAGGGGGTGTTTGGTTGGCATGAATTGCGTTGGAGTTGAATTGTAATTCAATGAAATGATAAACTACATTGTTTGGTTGGAGGGAATTGCAATTCCCTCAATTCATTGAATTGCAATTCATAGGTCCCCTATGAATTGCAATTCATAGGTCTCCCTATGAATTGCAATTCAATGAATTCATGCAAAAGGAAAGGGGAGGAAAAGACATATTTGTCCTTGAATGTTATTATTAATATTATTACACAAAGGGTATTTTAGTCTTTATATCACTTCTCCCATTTTTATTATTCCTCCCTACCAAACAATGTAATTGTAATTCCTACCTTTATTCTCACCTTATTCTTCCTTCCAACCAAACGCCCCGTAAATGTACATCATATGTATTTTCATTCACTTTATAGTAGATGCATCCTGTTCATTTTATATGTTCATAAAAAATTGTTTAATGTACATAAATATTACTCTATCTGTTTCATTTTACCTGTCTTGTTTACTATTTATTAGTCAAATCAACTATTTTTTTTTTTGTCTATTTTCTTTATTATTCTTTAATTATTTTAAAATTTAATTTTTTAGTGTTTTATAATACGTTTAATGCAACTTCTAAATATATAAATTTTATATACTAATATTAAACTTAATAGTATGAAAATTTAAATTCAAAATAATTTCAGTCAAGCTTCATTAACCTAATCAGACCGTCAAATGAGACGGATGTGGTATATTAATGTAATGACTTTATGTACCTATATATTTATTTTTAGAAATATATCAATATGAGTGTCATTTAAAAGATTTCAATTAGAGGCTTTTAATGATATACTTTTTATACATTAAGTTTATTTGTACAAAAGAAAAAAGGTAAAAATGAATTTAAATTGAAAAAATGTTGAGTGGTCCACGATATAATTATTGCTTGAAATTTATGTAAAATATTTTATGGAGCTAAAGTTGGATTGATTGATCACCTTAATTTGTGACATGAAATGATTCTCTCAAATGAGAGGTCATAAGTTTGAGTTGCAGTGGATAATATTAACTCTTTGTGCTTGAATAGATTAAAAAAAAATAGTTATAAACAGATAATACATTGTAACAGAGCCAGTAGTTATGAACAAAATTATCAAGAAGGAAGAATGACAGAAATTCTTGTTTAGTATTGGTGGAATAGTTTTGTTGTTGAATAATTTGTAAAATATATACTTGCCAGGTGCCAGTCAGTTTCACGGTTTCACCTAATTTCTTGTGAATACCTCAACTAACCCACCTATCTGATCATAAGACAGAACAATTCCCATAAACTGAGTAATACTATAATAGAATATCATTTCTCTTTATTCTTATCGAGTATGAACACTAAAATATTAGTATTTAAAGAATTTATAAACTATGTTAAGAAACATCTTATACTTAATTTAATCATCTCTTTCGAATCTTCAAATCAGAAATGGTGGGAGACTTTGAAAAGACCCATTCCACCCTGCAACCCAATAATGAAGTCAATTTGGGAATGTTTGGTAAATAATTGTTAGATGATTGTGTTAGTAAATTTGACTAGTTGATAACATTAATTGATTGTAAAAAGATATTTAGTAAATAAATTGTTAGCTGATAACTATTATATGCAAACTGATATTTTCAAAAAACTTATCGAAAAAATTACTTTTGATAAGCTTTTTTAATTTTTGCATTTTAAAGTAATAAATTGTTACAAAAATCTTATTAGTCAAATATTTATATTGATTATTGAGTTATTACCCAAAATCGTCTTCGACTATAGTGGTTTTTCTCAATTTTGTCCTAAACGACTTTGGTGACTTAATGTAGTCCCAGAGTTTTGTGTTTTTACTCAATTTCGTTCCAGACTTTTGTGTTTTTGCTCAATTTAGTCCCCCATTTGTTATTACGTCCATTTGTTGTTAAATAAATAGACAATTCAGTAATTTTAATATTGGCATCTCTCTATTCATAGACATGTGAAGGGCGAAATCCCTTTTTTTTTACGAATTACTCCCAGAATCACTTCTAAAGCTGCGAATATAAAATTTGATTCGTAGGTCTGAGAGTAACTCTGGGTGTAATTCGTGTAAGAAAGAGAGATTTCTCACTTCGCAGGTTGAAAGTAAAGAGAGATCAATATTGATATTATTGAATTGTCCCTTTATTTAACACCAATTTGACGGAATAACAAACGAAGGACTAAATAGAGCTAAACACAAAAGTCTGGGACTATATTAGGTCACCAAAGTCGTTTATGACGAAATTGAGAAAAACCACTATAGTCGAGGACAATTTTAAGTATTAACTCATTGATTATTTAACTAAGTTAAATAACTAATAATAGCCAAATAAATTAAAATTGACTGATAAGTTAATTATGTTACCAACCACATCATTAACATCACAATTAGCGCCATTTTACCGTCGTGACAAACACCAACCCCAGGCAGTTGCAGTTGTGCCCAATTTCTGTACTGACAATATTATTCACATTGGTGGAATGGGGACAGGTGCAATTGGTCAGACAAATCACTTTTAATAATAAACCCTAAAATAAGGATTTCATCAACTGATATTTATTAGTTTCATAGTCAATCTTGTTTGACATTTAGCATTAACCGATAGATATATTAATTGATTTTAATCAATTAATAATATTTTTTTGGTACCTATCAATTAATAATATTAGTTGTTTGTATAAATACTTTTATTAAAACAGTTAATTTTATGTGAGATAATCTCAAATGAGATGGATTCTACTTTTTTTTTTTAGTGAAATATAATATTTTCACAATAAGTATTAAATTTCATTTTCAAAAAAGTATTAATTTTTATTAATATTTTTAAGTAACAAATTAAATCATAACTTTCAATAAGAAGGTAATACTTAATCATTTATAGAAAATTATTATATTTTTGTTAAACATATTATATTATACTTAAGGTGTCTAGTTTTATACCTTAGGGGTCGTTTGGTTCACGGAATGTCAGATTACCTTAGGGAATGTTAAATTGCTCGGAATGTTAGATTACTGGAAATGTTAGATTCCTGTGTTTGGTTAAAATTGAGGTATGTAATATAATCATGTTTGGTTTAGGGTTATCTTTTATCCACACACTATAATATCATTAACATATTTTCATATATTTTATATGCTAAACAAAATTATTTTATATGCTAACCTAACATAATAAAAATAAAAATATATAATTACAAAAATAGTTTTGTGTGTGTGTGTGATAAACTAACATAACCAAGGTTATCTTACATAACCTTAGAAATTGAAGGGAATCACATTCCCTTCAAAATCCTATGTGGAGTGAATGTGACATTCCTTGGGAATGTAAGATTCCCTGAGATAATATGAACCAAACATAGGAATGTGAGCTTGGAATGTCACATTCCCTTGGTTAAGTTATATAACCTGAACCAAACGCCCCCTTAAGGTGTGTATGTTTAAAGTTTAAGTGTGTCACCTTTCTATTTGAAGGTGCATCAGTTTACACTTAAGGTGCGTTGTTTTATAACTTAAGGTGCATAATTTTATAACTTAAGGTGCATCAGTTTGAGACAATTGATCATTTGCATGCATGTTGGCAAGAAGCGCGTTTTTTAAAAATATTTTTTCTTGATTTGAGCCGTTGATCTAGATTAGATTAACGACTCAGATCTCACCCCATCTTTCACATGGGAGACTCTTTGCACGTGAACTTATCCATATATATAGTCGCGCTCCCATGAGAACCACCATTAATGTGAGAACGTGATGACAAATCTAGACAATTTAATCAGAATGATGCATGACTAAGATTAAAAGGAACAAATCACATGGATTAATGAAATAAATCTCTTTAAAATATTAAAAAGAAAAATATACGATTAGGGGTAAAATAGTGGTATTAGAAGTCGTGCATTCCTGTACAGAATGTCGTGCATTCCTATATCGTATGTCGTATATCAATAACTTTCTGGTTGTGCATTCAAACACTGTCAAAAAATCCTACAATGGATATCCTAATATCCTATGATGCACCGCACTATGTGCACTAATACACATCTCACCAGCCTATGATTCACAACTCACAACACTAGGTTGCACAACCAGCACACTTGAATGCACAACCGTAATGCTTAGACATATGTACATATATACATCAACATCCAAATATAGGTAATATTATACTCAAAAGAACGAGCGAAAAAAATAATAAAAAATACTGATAATCAAATCTTAGAGTTGTACAACAAAAAATGCATGCAAAAAGAAGTAAGGGTTGTTTCAAATTTTTGAGTTGTACTAACTATTATTAAGTGCAATCCTATTAGTATTTCCTATTTTAGCAGTAGATTAATAATAAGAGTTAATTTTATTTGTAGTCCTAAATTTATACATGGCAGAACCTGGCAGTTCACTTTTAATTTTTTTTTTTTTATCCAAACATCCTCTTTTACATCTAGTATTATTATGGCATGATTATTTTTTGTCATTTGTCAATAAAATCGTTTAAATGCCGTTAAATATAATGACATTTCAATCTTTTTTTTTTTAATACAAAGTAGATTGACCCGTTATAATTTTTTTTTTTTTATTGAAAAATCTATAATTGAAGAGAGAAATGACCTAGCTTGTATTTAATGGCATTTAAATTGTTTTGTTGGTAAGGCCGTAAAGGGACAAAAATGGTCATCACAAAAATGGTCATACTACAATAATACTATGATTAAAGAGGCATGTTCTGAAAATAAATAATGACTAAAAGTGAATTGACACCTATAAATTTAGGATAAAAATGGAATAACTATTAATAATAATAATATATTAAGACAGTTTGTCATTTATCAAACATATATTTTAACAGTTAAATCATACAAAATAGTGAATTTCATCATTTTTTGTGTGGGCAAGAAAATAGTATTTTTCTTTCTTAGAATTATGAGATGACATTGAAGGGTCAAATTCAACTATTATAGGTCATTGCATAACAAGCGGGGAATGGAGGAAAATGACTCCGTCGTTTCATTTTTATTTTATAGAGAAACTCAATACTTTCAACCTTGACTATTGGAGTCTTGTGACTATTGGAGTCTTGTTAATTTCAATCAATAACTTTCAAAACGATGAGAGATGTGAGGATCTCAAATGTTGTATATTAAACATTAATATTTGTCCACATGTATTTAGTCTATTGATTGGGTCTAAGTGGTTATATTGGTTATATTTTATCTCCTGGAGAAGTGGTCTAGAAGAGTTGCTAGTATTTCTTGTATTTATACCTTGCATGTACAGTGTTATTGTAACATTGGAAATACATTCATTCTGCTCATTCTCACATGGTATCAAGAGCTTAACTCTCACGAGATTCATTATCATTTTTTTTCTCCCTTTTCTTTCCCGATTCAATCTTATGGCAGTTACCTCTACTACTGCTGTTATCCAACTCTCTGCCCCGACCAATTTCCCGATCCGCCTCACTGATGTTAATTTCCCAGTCTGGCGTCGACAGGTTCACTCAACTCTCATAGGTCTTGGCCTGTTGGGATACATTGATGGCACAGTCAAGGAGCCTGCTGAATTCCTTGATACTGATTCAACAACCACGAACCCAGCTCATACAAGTTGGGTACGGCAGGACCAGATAATTCTGGCTGCTCTTCTTGGTAGCTGCACAGACACCATTCAACCTGTTATATCCTCTGCAACAACAGCTGCGGACGCATGGTCTCGCCTTACATCCAGCTATGCTAGCTCGTCCAAAGGACGAGTCATATCTCTCAAAGCAAAGTTGGTTAGAAACCCAAGAGGATCCCGAACAATTTCTGAATTTCTTCAAAACATGAAGTCCATTGCTGACGACCTGGCGTTAGCCCAACATCCTATATCGGATGAGGACCTCGTTGTTCATGCGGTCACTCAGTTAGGTGACGAGTTTCATCCAATCATGGCAGCGATTAGTGTGCGTGAAACAGCGGTTACATTTGCTGAGCTTGGCACTATTCTAACCGAGTACGAACGCACAATGAAGTCGTACGCAGACCACACTTCGTTTATACCCACGGCGAATGTCACCCAACGCCAGGCACTTAAAGACTCGGCTAAATTGGGTTCAGGATCATCACGTGATCAGTCTACCACCTCCAATGCCCGTAGAGGTTGTGGTCGTGGCCGTGGTCATAACTCTGGCAACCGCCAAGGGAGGTATTGTAACTACTGTGAATTCCCGGGCCATGATACTAAGTTTTGCAGGAAACTAGCTCAATTTCTGCGGGACAACAACTATCAATTCAGTGACACTCAAAATTCCCGGAGTTATCAACCAGTTGCCAATTCAGTCACTTCGCCACCAGCCGCCTCGCCTCAATGGATGTTTGATAGTGGGGCTTCCCATCATGCGACGTCGAGTCCATCAACTTTGCATGGTTTCTCAGATTACGGAGGGCCCGATGAAATAAGCCTGGGAGATGGTAAGACTTTAAGTATAAGTCATACTGGGCTCCTGGAGAAGTGGTCTAGAAGAGTTGCTAGTATCTCTTGTATTTATACCTTGCATGTACAGTGTTATTGTAACATTGGAAATACATTCATTCTGCTCATTCTCACATTGTATTCACATAAAGATTGTTCAAACAGTACAGTAGAATATAATACATGGATACATATAAACACTAGATATAGAAGTAGACTCATACAAGGACACAACTACGAGTGTGTTTGGTTGGTGGGTTTTACCCGTAGAAATGGGTATGAAAGTGATTGTTGTCGTTTGGTTGATAGGTTTTTAGAACACTACTATGGGTTTCGAATACCCCATCAATTGAAAAACTCATACCCAAATAAAATAAGGGTTTCATTCTCAAGCACTACTATTACTAACCATTCTCATTTCATCCTACTACCAAACATGTTAAATACTTTCACCAAAACTCATTACATTACCAAGTATTTGATACCCATTCCGATTCCGATTCCTATGTGCGAACCAAACACACCCTACATAGTCCTAATAAAAACTATCAAATTAGTACCTTGACTATTCAATTTTTATCAATTTTGGTCACTCCAGTCAAATTGTCGGCTAAATGTCATCGGAAAATGTTAATTGACCTACTTTTGTTTAATCATAAGGGCAATATGGTCATTCTACATTCAACAGACAATATATTCGGAGCCACCATTACTATGGTGTGCTCGTAATCTTCTTCCCATGCGTAACTTGGGATCACGCCGACTATAGGGACTTTTCCGGGGAAGTCCCGACCGGTGAGCCTCCTTTCAGGAGGTCCAGAGGGTTCATTCCAATTTGGATGTCAAAAAAGATGGCATAGTTCTTGGTGATGGTGACATCATCTTCTTCCCAAGCGTTTATGGTGTGGACGATATTGAACCCTGGCACCTCGAACCACGTATCGCATTTCTAACTAGTCTTTGGCGTAACTTGGGATCACGCCTACTCTAGGGACTTTCCCGGGGGAAGTCCCAACCGGCGAGCCTCCGTTCAGGAGGTCCAGAGGGTTCATTCTGATTTGGATGTCGGAAAAGATGGCGTAGTTCTTGGTGATGGCAAAGTCGCGCATAAATGACGGTTGTTTGTCGCGACCATATTGCCTTTATTATTAAACAAAAGCAAGTCAATTAACATTTCCCAATGACATTTAACCGACAATTTGACCGGAGTGACCAGAAAATGTTAATTGACTTGGTTTTGTTTAAAAGAAAAAAAAAAAAAAAATCTCTTCATAATATTCATTAGCTCGTATGAATTTGCGAAACCCATCACAACTGAAGAAAAAAAAAATACTTAGTACTGTTTGAGGGAAATATTTGAAGGTAAATTTAATAGGGAAAAGGAAAAATCCTTAAAAGTTAAATATTGTATTGGATCATATAGGAGAAAACATATATTCCTATTATAGTTCAGCACATCTACTATACTATATACTAATAATCTAATAAGAGCCAATAAAGTTAGGCTTATAACGGAACTAAAAAATATTTGTTTAATTATTTATTGAAATAAATTGTTTATATTAATTTGATTTTATTAAAAAAATTTACTATCTTTTTCTAGTTTACCCTTTATTATATCATTTATTTTTTCTAAGGAATAAGGGTCTAATAGGTCATCGACCTGCACACGATAATGCAATTATGCCACTAAACTTAGGGTGTGTTTGGTTCGCACATGGGAATCAGAATCGGAATGGGTATCAAATGCTTGGTAATGGTAATGGGTTTTGGTGAAAGTATTTAGCATGTTTAGTAATAGGGTGGAATGAGAATGCTTACTAATAGTAGTGCTTGAGAATGAATAAGGGAATGAAACCCTTATTTTATTTGGGTATGGATTTTTCAATTGATAGGGTATTCGAAACTCATAGTAGTATTCTAAAAACTTATCAACCAAACAATAACAATCACTTTCATACCCATTCCTATGGGCAAAACCCATCAACCAAACACACCCTTAAAAAAACTATAATTGGATCTCTAAACCAACCAATTTCATGCAATTAGTCCAATTTGCAGGTTTTTCATGTTTCTAACAGGTCACCATAAAAGTACATTATTCGTGTACTGAATGTACATTATACAAAATAAAATATTTTTAGTTTAAAAAAAACTACAATCGGATCTCTAAACTAACCAATTTCATGCAATTAGTCCAATTTGCAGGTTTTTCATGTTTCTAACAGGTCACCATAAAAGTACATTATTCGTGTACTGAATGTATATTATACAAAATAAAATATTTTCAGTACTCAAATAATATATTTTCTCTGAATACAATGTACATTTTTAATATATTAAAAGTACATTATTTATGTATTAAATGTACATTATTGATAGTATGATCCACAGAATAATGATTCTCCAAATAGTTGAGAATGGTAGACGACTCCTATACCTGCCTCTTGTTACACATCCTGATCCTTGTACTGCTTTTATAGGTTTAAACCCTAAAATGAGAGCTCCTCACTTCATGCCCTAAGAATTATAAGAGGAGGTAAATTGCAAGATGTGTTATGAGAGGAAGTAAATTGCAACATGTGTTATGAGATAAGACAAATTGCAAGATGTATTTCAGTGAGAAAATATCTGAGTGCTTGTTTTTTTTTCCCTAAAACACAAGTTGTATCTTAATGAGAAAAGATTCGAGTGCTTGTTTTTTAACCTAGGACCCGAGTAATTGCTAAATACTACACCCACACTCAAGCTTTTGACCACTAAGCTAAGAGAAGAGCTTTGCTGTGACAAGTTCAACTACAAATAAATATACATGATATATATTAATAAAGCAGTATAAGTTGCACATTCAGTTCTATATCATACTTGTAGTAATTGCTTTTGGTCGTGAACTTGGAAGGAAAACTTGTTTACATTCCTTGTTAAAATGTCTAACAAACAAAATATGACATTTTGATGATTCATAGCAAGAGAATATGCAATGCAGCTTGTTATAATTTGTAAGCTCAAACAAGTATATAATCAAACTGAAAATACCAAATAAAATAAGAATAATATTGCACTCAAATCCCCAAAAAAACAATCCAAATAATAACACCCTCAAAACCAACACACAATCACACAACCACAACACAGACTATATATCGTATGTATGGGCATAGACACTTCTCTTACTCTGAAACCCATGCTATAAACCCTTTCTCAAGACAAGTCCCCCAAAAAAATTAAATATTTGATGTAATGCCTTAATTTTTATCATCATCCTTTTCCTTCTTCTCAGCCTCATCTTTTTTCTCCTCAGCAGGTGCAGGCGCCTCTTCGCCTTTGGGCTTGTCTTCTTGATCATTGCTTTCAACACTCAATTTCTCGATAAGTTTAGCAGCACTACTAGCCTCTTCAGACTCTCCATCGTTCTTCTGTTGAGATTCAGCTATTTCTTCAACCTTGTCCTTGAAAGTTTTGCAATCTGGAAACAAATTGAAATACAAGGTTGAGGGTCGCTATTACTTTCACAAAATAGTGTCCCAAGTAGCATACATTCTCTCAAGGCATACCAAATTGACAAACCCCATTCCACACATCTTCTCAATGGCTAATAATTACAATTGGGAACTATAATGTGACATACACAGCTATACCGCCTATATGGACAATAAAACAGCTCTATTCTTTTAAAATTTGTTTGACAAAAAGCATCGCATCCAAACTCAAAAAGCCAGTTATGTTTATGGACTATGGTACTTGAATTTAGTTCTGTAAAGTGAAGTGTTCTCAATTTCATTTGGTTGCAGTGGGGACGCCACACCCTTTTCTGTCCCTATTTTTTCTTTTCTTATTTTAACACTTGATCCAGCACTACATTGTTCAATTCATAAAGTGAGAAAAAATATACTTCAAATCATGCTAAGATTCTTGATTTCTATAAAACAATAGTAGCATCACTTTACCCTTAGGCGGACATTAGTCGGCCGACTAGGCAGCCTAGGAGCCCGGGTCAGCCAACTCGGCCGAATGTTATATTTTTTTTGGTGTGCAATGTTTACACCTTCGGTGTTTTTCTTATTATTATTACTCTCCCGCCTAGGCGCTAGGCGCCAATCGCCTTCTACAATATTATTATATAGCAATGAAACATAAATGTTCAAGCAATAGTTTAAAGTATCCATACGTAACTACACATACAAGAAAGTGGCACTTATACTCTCAACAAAAGCAATATGTAGCAACGAAACATAAATGTTCAAGCAGTAGTTTGAATATCAAAAAACAAGAGTTTGAAGTATCCATATGTGACCACACAAGCAAGAAAAGTGGGACTTACTCTCAATAGAAGCAAATCTAATGCAAAATGTCTCCTCCTTTAGCTCCCCATCAGCAAAATCAGCAGCATGCCAAACACAAGATTTTTCATTCCCCGCATGTTCTTGCATTGATATTGTAGGAAGAACTACAACAAAGTTATACATCAAATCAAAAACACCAGTATACTAGCTAAGACAGACACATAATGAAAGACACTAAAGATGATAGAAACAGGGGAAGAAAAAACTCACCCAAGTGATTGGCACAGATTTTGAGTGTCTTTGACTGCCTCATCACAAGCCTAACTTTTCCAGTTTCTTTATGCTTCAAAAGCTTCACAGTCCCAGCTCCTCTCTCTTTCCACTGATTTCCTTCCTTAACAAATCTATACAGCTTCGCTTTCCTATACAAAAAAGAGCAAAAATTTTAAACCAATTTTATCCACAAGAAACGAAGATATGATTTTCCTTGTAACATAAAACAACAAGAATACAATTTAAAAAAAATATAAAAATTACGTTTACACCAATTTTATCCACAAGAATGAAGAAACGAAGATTCAATTTTCCTTGTCAACATAAAACAAAAGAATACAATTAATTATTTACAAAATGATTAAAATTACGTTGCTACAAACAAGTAAAAGTTCATCTAGGCTACCTTCTCTCTATAATAATACACTCAAGATAATTGCTATTCTAGAACGAAATCTTTCTTTCAGTAAGAAATTAATTCAAGCCTAGACAACTAAAAAATGCACATGAAATTAATGCCCTAGTTTACTAAAAGCACGAGTAAAAGGGGAATCGGAATTGAGGTTATTCGAAGAGAACACACTCACAGATCTAGAAGGACGTCCTCGTTCTCTTCGCCAGTGCTGACGGCGACTTCCTGAAGTCTGACGATGGGAGCAACCTGAGCTCCGGTATCCTCGTCTTCCGCGGGCTGGTTCTCAGAAGATTCCTCCTCTTCTTCCCTCTTCTGCAATGTAGGCTCTGCGCTGCTCGCCATGACTCCTAGAATTGCTGCTTCTTCCGAAGAGAGAGAATTCTGTGTGTTTCGGCAGTAGAGACTAGGGTCTAGAGAGTGATGGTGGAGAAGTAGGGTTTTAGGCTGCGAGAAGATGAAATAAAGGTTTTGTAGGAAAAATCTTGGGAAGCCCATTACACTATACCTAAGCCCAACATGAGTCCTGAGAGTTGTTGGTGGACCCTGGTCTTAAACGATGTTTAAATTGTGTAATTTTGGTGTTAAAATTGTGAATATTTACTATCTATTTTCTATTTTCTACTATACTAATAAGAGTCAGAGAAAGTTAGGCCTATAATGGATAGAAAAAATGATTGTCAAATTATTAAATCAAATGAATGGGTAGAAAAAATGGTCGTCAAATTATTAAATCAAATGAATGATTTAAATTGTTCAGATTTTAATTTTTCTTTAAGATTTTCTAATTTATCTTTAATTATATGATTATGTGTTAATTTTTTCGTTAAATATTATCTTCTCCGTTAATTTATTCATTAACTTTTCCGTTAAATATTATCTTCTCCGTTATTTTTCGTTAATTCACCATTAACATTGCCTAGAAATCCTTATAGAATTATGATATTAAAGTCTTAACAGAACTCTAACACACAAGTCCTTATAGAATTATAACTACACCATTAGTCTAACTCTAAGTCTCTAAAGTCTAATATAGAATTATAAATACACCATTAGTATAATTATAATATTAAAGTCTTAATAGAACTCTAAACCCACAAATCCTTATATAATTATAACTACACCATTAGCCTATATATTAAGTCATTGTCCATGGGTTAGAAGTACAAACCTAAATTAGTAAACATCTCTTATCATTCTTCCAAAGGCCGAACCCCAACCCTAAGGGCAACATCTCCTATCATGTTTCTATAATATTATTTCTATAAACAAATTGACGCTGCAATACGCTGGTTTGCCGGCACCCCTTCGAACTCAATATATTCAATCCCATCATACTGTATTAGTATATATTTAATATTTTATGCTGTAATCTTTATTTGCGCCCTCTAGGCGGCTGGGGACCACCTAGAGCGCCTAGGCAGGCGCCTAGAGCGATTAATCGGCGCCGACCGCCTAGCGCCTAGGCCAGATTTTTGCAACACTAGTTTCAACCATACCCATACAATTATTTTATTAACCATTATAATCAATCTTGGCTATATTTTATTTCATTTGTAAATTTAGAATTGCCTATTTAAATACGCAAATTCAACATTCAATTATCTATGCATGAACAACTCCAATATAATCTTGTCTTGATATACTTTAAAGCACTTATTTAAAAAATAAACATTGAGCATTATCATGAAAAAAAAAAAACTATTTTAGAATATAAATTGTATTTGTAAATCAAAACATATAACAGCTGTAAAAGGAAATTTGTGAATACAATACAAGGTCATCAAATCCTAATTTGTTAATATAGTGTGATTGTAGTATTTGAAACGAACTTGTGAATACAAAACAAGGTAATCAATTAGAGTAAATTTCAATTTTGGTCATGTGACTATAGGGGTCCTATTAATTGCAGTCCACAACTTTCAAAAGTATTAATTTAGTATATTGACTATTCAATTTTTATCACTTTTGGTGACTCCAGTCAACTTACCTGTCAAATCTCACCGAAAAATATTAATAAGTAAAATAATAAGGGTATTTTAATCATTTTACTCTTTTCTTTCTTATCCGACGAGTCATCTCAGTTTTCCAGCGATCGTTTTTCATTTCTGCACATTCCCGCTTCAATTATTGATTATTAAAAAATTAACATTTTATTCACCACCGTTGAAATATTGAATATCGCACTAGAGCTGCATTCTTCCAGTTTTAATTTCTGACTATTTTATTCCCAAATTTGAGTTACAAAAGCCGATTTCTACAAGTTTCAACTTCACTTCCGGCGGCAAGTTTCCTCGTTTTCCAGCATCAACTGCCTCATCTCCAGCGTTGACTGTGGCGGAGTCTTCGGTGATTTCGTCTCCACCAGGAAGTTTAGATTCAGCTGCGAATTTGTTGTCATCGCATTCGCCAGTATGCTGAAGAGAATTGAACCGTTGGACACTTCGGTTATCTCTAAGGGCGTTTCAGATCCCGCCAAGGACTCTATGAAGCAGACTATTTCTACGATGCCAGGTTTGCTGCCGTCCGATCAGTTTTCCGTTACAATTAAGGTTTCCTCCATAATTTCATTATGGGCAGCAGAAACGATCGCCGGAAATATGGGATGGACTTGTCGGAGAAGAAGAAAAGAGGAGTGAAATGACTAAAAAAATTCTCATTATTTTACTTATTAATATTTTTCAATTATTTCGGTGAGATTTGATCGGAGTGACCAAAATTGATAAAATTTACATAGTCAAGGTACTAAATTAACATTTTTGAAAATAATGGAGTACAATTAACAAGATCCTTATAGTCATAGGACCAAAATTGAAATTTACTCTAATCAATTAAATATATGTTAACATTGTGTGCTCGTAGTATACAAATTGCAAATTTTTAAAAGGTAAATTGTAAACATTTAGTATGTAAATTGTAAACATTTAGACTCAGGTCCAACAGAATAATTTGTGAATTCGTGATTGTGAGTATTAAATAAATTAGTAGCGGTGGGCGTTTCGGGCTTCGGTTCAATTTTTTTTTCGGTTTCGGTTTCAATTTTTCGATTTAAAAAAAAAATTAAATCATTCGTTTTAAAATTAGAGTTCAGTTCGGTTTCGATTCAAATTGAAACGGTTCGATTTCGATTTGGTATTCTGTTCGGTTTAATATCCTCAAATTTCAACTTTTCCTAATCTTTCGAACATACTATCAAACAATACATATTTACATAATCATATAATCAAAATTCAAAGTCTAAACATTATATAACAAAATAGCAATACAAAGTTCAAACACATTACTAAGTATTAATTACCAAAAATCAGTTGATTTTTTTGCACAACCGACTCTTCAGTTGGCTCACTTGGAATATTTTATTGACAAGATGATTAATCATTTATCTGTATAGTTAATATTTGAAGAACAAGTGTCAAGTACTATATAGTTACTTTTTGGACACAATCTGTCATTGCTAGTGCACTGAAATATTATTTTCCAGTGCACTGAAAATCAAAATTAGAATGATGTTAAAGCACATTAAATTCATAGAAACATGCAACTAAGGAAAATACTGAATATTGTAAGAATAACTGCGGAGAACAAGCCATAAAGAAATCAAATAAAAAATTTAAAAAAGATACCAGTGAGAATAGGAACTGAACGGTGGAGCAGACTTAAATCTTTATTATTATTATTATTATTATTATTATTATTATTATTATTATTATTATTATTATTATTGAATTGAACAATCAAATGGTATTCGGTTCGGTTAACCATTCGAATTTAGTTCAGTTTGGTAAGGCTCGGGTCGGTTTGATTCAGAAAAATCGAACCGGATTGTCCACCCCTATAAACTAGCCCATTCAGAAAAATCAATGAACATGAGTTTTTTTTTTTTTTTTTTTTTTGAATACTATTAACTCTATTACAATGTAGTATCTGTTCATAACTACTTATTATTTATTTATTTATTTATTTATTTATTTATTTATTTTATTATTATTATTATTATTATTATTATTATTATTATTATTATTATTATTATTATTATTATTATTATTATTATTATTATTATTATTATTATTATTGAATTGAACAATCAAATGGTATTCGGTTCGGTTAACCGTTCGATTTTAGTTCAGTTTGGTAAGGCTCGATTTGGTATCCGAGTAATATCTTTTATTTTTGCTAAGTTATGCAATTCAACTTCATAATGTACAGAAGTCATACAAAGAATACACATAAACTATTAAGTATTAACAAAATACACATAAACTCTCAACATAATACACATAAAACATAGGCCTAATGATATCATTTCTGTGTACTGATGAATGGAATCTAAATTAAAAAGAGTTAATACCCAAAATCGTCCTCGACTATAGTGGTTTTTCTCAATCTCGTCCTAAACGACTTTGGTGACCTAATATCGTCCCAGACTTTTGTGTTTCTCAATTTAGTCCCAGACTTTTGTGTTTTTGCTCAATTTAGTCCCTCATTTGTTATTCTGTCCATTTAGTGTTAAATGAATAGACAATTCAGTAATTTTAATATTGGCATCTCTTTGCTCATAGACATGTGAACTGCGAAATCCCTTTTTTTTTTTACGAAGTACTCCCAGAATTACTCCTAAAACTGCGAATATAAAATTTGATTTGCAGGTCCGAGAGTAATTCTGGGCGTAATTCGTACAAGAAAGAGGAATTTCGCACTTCACAAGTTGAAAGTAAAGATAGATCAATATTGACGTTACTGAATTGTCCCTTTATTAACACCAATTTGACGGAATAACAAATGGAGGACTAAATTGAGCGAAACACAAAAGTCTGGGACGATATTAGGTCACCAAAGTCGTTTAGGACGAAATTGAGAAAAACCACTATAGTCGAGGACGATTTTGGGTATTAACTCAAATTAAAAATGTACATAATTGTATAGTATAATACACATACACTATGAACAGAATACACATAAACAATGCACAGAATACACATAAACATAAGTCCAGCAATATCATTTCTGTATACTGATGAATAGAATCTTAAGTAAAAATGTACATAATTGTATATCGTAATACACAAAATACACATAAACTCTTAAAATAATACACATAATCATAAAAGTCTGAGTAATATCTTTTATTTCTGCTGAGTTGTTCAATTGAACTTCATAATGTACGCAATTCATACAAAAAATACACATAAACTCTTAACAAAATACACATAACTCTGAGTAGGGGTGGCAATTTCAATCCGACCCGTGGATATCCACCTCAATCTACCCCGCATGGATCGGATTTTTTTGGGTGATGGTGGGTGGTGGGTCGGGGGTGGTCTTAAAAAAGTAAATCCGCGGTGGGTCGGGTTGGAATCGAGTTCTATGTACATGACCCGCCTAGAACCCCACCCGACCCACCATATGTGTGTGTGTGTCTATATATATATATATATATATATATATATATATATATATATATA